AATTTCTTCTTTGAAATTATTACTACTACCGTCTTGCATACCAGTATATCAGCGCCACATCATCATTAATGTTATTATGGCCAGATGTTTATCATCTTTCAAAAATGATGCCGGTTTTTAACTTTTATGTCACTTAAAACGAAACTGTAGTTCTGATATCAATTTTTCATTTAAGAAAAAATAACACTTTACACCATTATTCTAACATCGTCGCTAATATTAGCTACAAACTAAAATACTTAGACATTTTTTCGCATCATTATCCAATTACGCCTGATTTACGTGCTTCAAAATTTCTCTCCAAAATCCTTTTATTGAGTTGAGTGACCGAGCCTACGAGGAGGAGAACTCCTGTCTGAAAGAAGTGAACGATATGAGAGCAACAGAGAACATTGAGCGTGCTGATATCACAGTTTGACGTCGGCTGTAAGCGTGAAATACATCGCGGACGGGACGATATCTCTTGACATCCTCAAAGTAAACATATGTTATCGACGCAGAGCAGTCCATTCAATGTACAGCGGGCATCCGCGGCGAATTTGAGGCCCCTGTCAGATTTAATCCTCAGAGCATCGCTCTGAGCCCTACATGATTTGAGTCCTACAGGGTATTCTCAAAAAGCCATTTTTCCACTTGGGAAGTACATTACGCAGCACTGACAGCGACAGCACCAGTCTGGCTCAGTTTCATCAGCAACAATAGCATAGCAGTTAGACGCCTGAGTTGTCAAATAGGATTGCCACTTTATCGTCACTTAAAAATGTATTGTCAAGTACTGAATAGCTTGGGACAATGAAAACACCTGAGTTCCACTAAATACAATGTTTTGTATGTCGATGAGTCGTTGAGATGAGCTAAACAATACAATTCCCGCCTTAGGGGGATTAGCAAAACGTTTTCGTCTGGATTTCATCGGGAACTTTGGTAGGCTGAATGTGAAAAGAGCATGGAGGCGTCATCCGTAGAAGTGATGCAATTAGCACACGGCACGCGACGAGACTTAAAGCAGACTGAAGTTCACAAAGACGATGAACATGTATGGCCTAGCAATAGGCTCTAAAGGTACTCTGACGACTGCGTCCGATGCGCTTCAAGCGCTTTTAACATTTCTAAGAAGATCGAGCGACAACAGCAGTGGAAGTCGACTGCAGCCTACCTATTTTAAATAGCGAAGGTGGCCTCCTGTCAAAGTTGCGCAAGTACGAGTTCAGCTGGTTGAAACTTCTGAAAACCGAGCTAAGTAGGTGAGAATAAACTGTCGTAAGCCTAATAATTACTAGTTTTTTCAAAAAACTTTAGCCAAATAGTCCAATCAGGGATAATGTATTGGTGGGTTCTCCTTTGTTTGCGACTAGAAGAACAATTTTCGTGTCTTTCGATTCAGTAAGAAAGGAGCCCGTGTAAGGAGATAGCTGGCCCATTGAAATATCCTGATGTAGTTTCAAACACCCTAGAACCGCCTAAACTATGGGTGCACTGACATAATTTATTCTAACCGCCGCTTGGCTCGTCTCCAAAGTCGACGCTATTTATATCCGACAGTCAGCATGAACCTGAAGGAAAGTAATAGTGGTGCGGTTAATGGTTGCGAGGAATCTGTTAAAGTAATCAGCAATAGCTTGAGGATTCTGGAATCGATGTTGAGAGTCAAGATCGAGCACAGATTTCCTTCTACCAGAAAATACAGTGATAAATTATTATAATTTCGAACTATCGCCTCTTAGCATCGTAAAATGCTCGCGTAAAACTGGCGCTTGTAAAACATATGCTTTACGGCCGTTGTGTTGCTTCGGGGACAGTTATAATAAGTTGTTGAGGGCTGCTATGTGCACACTTTTTGGCGCTATCTGAACTAGCGTATCCGCACGATCCATAGCACAGGCGAAAATTCGAACTTATTCGAATTGCAAGCTGAACTTCAATCACAGCAAAAAATCTATTATACCGAAAAAAAAAAAAACTGATTGCAGACTACTTCATAGGTTGAATCAGCATTGACTGCGTCACGAAGTGGGAGCCAGCTAATATTCTGCGTTTGATTTGTGAGGAGATCACAAAAGGACTATGCAGTCGAGTGGGAACTGACTCGGTCGGAGATCTCGAGAGTGATAAAAAGTTTTTTTAAACATAACAATTATCTAGGGTCTATTATTACAATTATCTAGCGTAATTTTTCACAGTTATATAAATAATACAGGTTCTCGAAAACAGCGGAGTAACCTTGTTAATATCTTGATGGTCCTTCGAATTTCTAGAGAAAATAAACGTTACATAGTTTTTTTTTTTACAGAGAAGCTTACCAAAGGAGTTTCCAATCCCTGCACTTAACAACAAACAAGGGAGAACATAATTTATAGAGTCAGCCTCATCAATAATGTTAAATAGGGTGTTGCTGGGAAGGAAAGAAATACTATAGCTAGCGCAGTAACACGTTTTAGCAATAGAACCACCACCGTGTCGAATTTAGGCCCTTCATTCGCAAGAAAAGCTACCGAAGTCCTGATTTCCTGAGTCTTTCGGTCATAGCATTAATACGTACCATAAAGAAATTATAGTTCTAGCGTTTATGTTTCGTATAGCAGCTATCAACAGACTTAGGGCATCCACAATACTTTGCAAACATACGGAGCTGTTACGCACAGCACTTTCAAAACCTAAGCACCGCACTCACGGATTTTGTATCCTTTAAAATTTATGACACAACAATTTGCACAACGTCCTATCAAGACAGTTAACAAACTTCTACTTACGCTTAATTGAGGTCGCGTTAGGAAAACTTAAACTGCAAAGGTACAGTAAGATATAGTTTGCTTTGGGCAGGCCAGACTTTCGAAATATCAACTCGTGCGAGTGTGAACAACCGGTTCATTACTAGTCGCACTTGGACGCTCGGGTCCGACGGGTTGCTGAAAAGGTAGACACTCTGTTTAGGCCTTCCGTTTTTCGATTCGGATCGGACACAGTGCTTGTTTACATATGGCGCCTTTAGGCGCAGTCATGCGACTTTACTGACAGCAGCCTTCACAGACTATTTCGTTTGTTCGACGGCGTCAGCCAGCGTTTGGCACCAGCAGCAAGAGATTGGCGAGCGATCCAGCACACATTGTAGCCTTATAAGCTTCATGTGTTAGCTTCATGTGTTCCATTCCGTGAAACCTTGACGAACTGCAAAAGGATCTTGTTCGTCAGAGTTATGAAAAGTTAACTTTGACTTGTTTTTTCAATACCTCCTTTTTAATGAAAATTAACACGGAATTTCCGAAGGTTATCAGCCTTCCGTCTTTTTGTAAGGCCCTGATTGCTTAAGTAATCCTGGCCGAATTTTGCACCGGTAACCGATACTCTGTGACCACTGGGCTCTCGAGAGCTGTAGAGAGGTTTTTTGGCATATATCAATGGATTTGTCCGCATGTAAATCGTAATGAATCTTGACTCTAACGTAGAATAGGGGGTGTACATCGAAGGCGGCAGAAAGTTTTATTTCCTCAACCAAGTTGCCCATCTTCAAAAAAGTGTTCGAAACGGCCTCTTCACGAATAGCATTTACCTGCAATCTTGGTTTCTCACTTCACGACGTAACTCTACCCTTCATTAAAATTTGCGACTCCTGCCTGAACACCGCCTTCGTATGGGCTCGTTTGAGCATTACTCGATTCCACTGGCTCGAGTCACTAAATCGAAAGGAAACGCCAGTTAGCTCGCTAATTTTGCCTCCTGCTCTTTATTCTTTCTCTGTTTCTCTGTAATCTTACTAAGGATCTTGCTTATTAATGCGGCTTTTCTACGAGTGGCTACTTAAGGCACTGTCCCCCCCCCCCATACGGGACCTTAGACAAGGCACGATGGAGATTGATTGTTCAAAATCAGTACCAACATCGAGAGGCCGAGGCGGGAAAGGAACCTCGATGGGAGATTCACCGACGCACTGCACAACCGCCGGGTACTGCGACTGGCACTGAAAACGTGGTCCCACACCGTGGCAGCAGGTGTAGCCCGAAATACGTGCAGTCTTAAGCCGTAATTGTTCATCTATAATGTATGCTATTGGGTAAGGCAAATGTCTATTGAAGAGACTAGTCAAGTACGGCCAGAGAAACCGCAGATCGGACAAATCTAACGATCTCATCACAGTCGTGCTCAATAGCTCGGCCTATCTGTGGGTACTCGATCGAGGCATTACAATTAAAGATCCAGGACCATTACGAGTGTCATACATTCTATGACCATATCTTGGACGGTGACCCGGAATGCGGACATCGGATGCGGACGGGGTAGTGTATGACACAAGCAATTTACTTGAAGTTGTGTTTCCGACGAGTGGCCCCTCAGGTCCTGTAATTCGATCTCGTTCGTTTTTTTTCGTTGTAGGGCTATCTTAAGGGCAGAACCCATACGACAACACCGAAAACAATCCTAAGACTTAACTCTACGGGAAATGTTCGGCAAGGTTGACGCTGAATTCCACAAAACCATGATTCAAGACCACGAGGAAAGCATCGAGCTATGCCAGTAGCCCCTTGCAGCACATTTTACTGACATTTTTCTAGATTTTTATGTGTACTGTATTTACGCATAAAGACTTAGCTTTTATTTTCAAAGCAGAAACCGATTTAGTAAGTCTGTGGGTCGGTTCTTTTTTCTAGTGATATTGCTACTCTTCTTGATATTATTATGTACAACTTGCAGTAAGGGATTTAATTTCTAATATCGCCTAACATCGTGATAGATATTTTAAAAAATACCGTGAAGTTTTATTAACGCACATGCTGTCCGTATATGCGGACGTGGACTATACACAAGGAAATGAACCAGCGTGTCCCGATTTAAAATGTTCCATGCCCTCGAACTGTGATAATTATAATCGACCATACACAAAGAAGACAAAGGTTTTACACTAAATATTTAACACTCATACAGCTAAGGTACGACGGTGTATTATTTTCATTAGATGGTTTATGTACGTGCAGAAGCACGTATTGCTAAAGCGTTAGGCCCTTTTTCTGTGAACGTCACGATCGGGCAACGGCGACAATTGATGGTAAACTCTACAACTAGATGTTTCGGTTGCATCTCATGTTTAATTTTACCAGACGGGGAAACTTGTCACACAACGCGAAAAAAAATCAATTCGCGAAAAGCCGTAAAGTTCCCAGACACGTTGATCTCGAGGCGGGACGATGACAGTAAGTGGCAGCTTTAGGGCGGCGATTTCACCTTTGATTTTTCCTATGGGATCATGCGAAGGTCATTGTGTGTACCAAATAGCACTAAACAAAAAAAGCCCTGGCCTAAAACACCGTCTTCGTAAAGTGATTAGTAAAGCTGACGCTGAACTCTGCAGAACTGTGAGTGATTGAAAATTTGTCAAACAGCTCTGACTCCGCAAATGGTCCCTGGGAAGTAGTTTGGCTGATGCTGTTTCCTCTATGCAGGAAAAGTCAACTTACTGGTATCCTATTGACTAACGCAAGAACAAAGATGTACACAGGAACTTAGTTTTGAATTTCATTCCGAGATCACTAAACCAGAACATCCATATTCGGCATATCTCATATTGCGCGCAATAGATATCACATCTGCTAATGGTACTACTGTTTTAACCATTAATGAATATCTTACTTGGCTTCTTTCGGCAACCAGCAACCGTCCGCATGTACCAGTGTTAGCACCAACGTTGACACTGTGACACTCGTATCGAGTGAACTCTACATGAACAATATATTTGGAGACAAATAGCCAACGATAGACCTCTGCTTAATACCATCAAGGTTATATGTTGTGGCTTTTGGCCTTGCTGCCGTTACCTGATTCATGTCTGCCTAATGGGCGTTCAATGAAAGCGGCACATGCTGCGGCCGCCGCCGCAGCAGCGGGTAATAGCGGACATAACAGCAATACGCACGTATATCAGCTGGTTTTTCGTTGTTTCTCATCGTGGTACTGGCCGCTCTATGGTTCCCCTGTAACGAAACACCATTTCATCATTTTCGATTTTATTTTCGCTTATATTTTGGCTCTTCAAGCCGCCAAAATGTTTCCCGATGACAATTCTAAACGTAATGGACTGCCTGGCGTTATAGCGCCATGGACAAATTACAGCGACCTCTATCTTCCTGCCCTCTCTCTATTCTTTCTCGTGATAATGATTCTGATGCCATTGACATTGGTAATCTGCTAACGCTGCTCGTCAACGAGCACCGTTTTTGCTAAGCAAACGGAAATACTTTGCCTTGATTTACCCCCACACGGCCTCCAGCACCATTATCATCTTAACTAGTTCTACTACTAGCAGACGAGCGACCGGTGATTGGCAAAACCAACAATATGCTACTGTCTGTCGTTTATGTACGCGTGTTATCCAGTGCCTATAATTGCTAGCTCTCAGCAGCACGGTGCCGTTCAGACTGAGTCTGCGGAATTACGACGCAGAGTCAGTGAATGATGACAACGAAAATGGGCTCGCTAAATAACCTCTGTGTAAGTGGTGGGGTCATCGTCGTGATTAGCACGAACTACTCGTGAAGAAATAGGCATTTTGTGAACTGAGCCCATGTTGTGGCTCATTTGCCTGTGACCAACTGGAGCCGATATTGGCGGTAACAATATTGACATACAAAGAATATACGGGCTTGCCCAGGCCTGTCCCTTCTAATCATACTCAGTTGTCGTAAATCTGAATGTTAATAAAAAAAAAAAAACATTTTTTGTATATATATATTTTTGGTAGCAGCAATAATCAAAAATCTCTGTTTAGCATGAATATCTTCGTTTGGCAAACACGCGGATCCAACATTAAGGCATCACTCGGTTGACGTTTATCAAAAGGTTGACAACGAAACCATAAAAGACGCAGCCCAAAGAGATAAAATCTTGCAGATAGTTGTAACATCTTGTAAAGTCCGTGTAATGTTTGTTTCGTCTGCTTTATTTTAGTCCTGTTTTCTGCTTCCTTCTAGCTCGCTCGTTACAGAGACTGCGTGTTGCGCGCCTTGCCCCATGTTCACCAATAATAGAGCTAGCGGCCTTGAAAGGCCCGTGTAGATGCGCTGCTAGGGCATGACCTTTTCGCCAAGAATCGAAAATACTGTGTGAATAATAGAGACCGTCAGTCTTTTTCCTTCCTGAACTATTTATTGTAGATAGATAGAAATATATATATATATATATATATACTTGTATCTACACAATACATGCAGTTCAATATAGACAAAAAGCCAGTGAACCATGGAGCATGGCAGGCAAATCATAAGAAATGAGATCATATTCTAAAATAGCTGCCTCTTACTGTGCTCTTATCTACGGACTCTGTTTTGACAACAGTAAGAAGTGAAAGCGAATTCTAATATATTTGTTATTAATGTTACGACTAACATCCGAGAAGGAGCGTATTGCAGGAAACTTTCTGACACTATTCCAGTGTACAGTAGAGCCAGATCTAAAAATGAAGATCCAACATCATCGATGAATGGAAAAACCCATTTCGAGAAATTCTGTATCTGTTCAGACCTTAGCGTAAATGTTAACAAGTCGTTTAGTGGACAAAGCAAGATACCCGCCTGATTGTCAATGGCATAGTACGTTAATTTATTTATTACACAATTAATTGAGCATGAAAGCTTTATGAGAACTTCTTAATGTCGCTTTTACTGCCGAGTCAGTCTCTTCAATGGCGGTATTAACCGGTGTTATGAAAATTCGTTTTTCGAAAAGGGATTCAGCAGTTCCGTAAAACTGCTGATAGCCATAGCACAGCAGTATGGCAGGCCGCTGTTCATGATGTTAGCTCTAGTGACGACACATTACCATCTGTAGATCGTGTGCCATACGATAGCAAACATGATGCATCAGCGTAATCGAGGCTATACGATGTAAGCAATGCAGAATCTGCATCCCGCCATTATGATCTGTTCAGTTATGTCTATATTCATTTTAAGCAGCATTGATCGATATGTATTAGTAGCAGCTATAATAACTAGAAATATGTGTCGTTTAACAGAAAAATACTGTATGATTAAAATGTTAGACCTATGTCCGGCACTGTAGTTGTGGCATTGCGTGTATTGGTTACGTCATGTATATCAGAAGAGACGCAACCCCAGAGACATATTTACGATACTTTATCATCCGTCGACAAAAATATAATAAATCCCTATTTTCGGCTCTGTTCATGCATTGCAAAAAAACAATTAAGAAGTTGAACTTTTTCGTCGACTAGCCTACTTCATAGAATAGCACTGGTATTTGAGAAGTTATATTCACCGAGAGCTATGGCATCACGCATACACAACTTATGTATGTGTTATAGGAACATAAAAAAACTTCTACGTTTAGCTTATGAGCGATGCCGTCGATTTGTTACCAAAATTACCCAGTAAAATGCGCGCAGTGGTGGTAAAAGCCGCTTCTAATGCTAGGTTGTGGACAAGAACATCTTCACATGCGCGTACAACTTGTTGCTAGTTATTCGAAATTGAGCATTTTCAAGCGTTGTTACCGTACACTCGGATCGATACCGATCGCCACCTAACATAAAGATGTCGAGCGTCATAAAACGTGTGGGTGAGCAGCGGTACCATTCCAATACCATTTGTGGCCGTTGAAATACATATGCATAATCGACGGCTGTTCCGCCAAACCGTTTTTTACACAACCATCACACTCTAGGTAGGTGGAGCTGTAGTCGCTGTGTTACATGTTTTGCTAGCAGCCGACGCTTTTTAGCGGGTAGCGCAATTATGTCAAAGGGCGAACTTACGTAAGTCGCGTGAAGGCGTGAATCACTGAAAGGCGGACGTGATGAGTCCACATTCTCGTAGTCTATTTATGTACGTGTTTATGTGTGTTTGTAAAAAAAAAACAGGCGAATGTTTGTGTCTGCGTGATTACAATCGCTAATGCGTGCTGTTGTATAGCGGGGACTTACTTCATTTAAGTAGCTCGAGTTTATTGCTATTGCCTTTGATGCTGTAGTAAAAGGAAGTGCGGTTCGAGTCAGCGACTTCGACTCGTTGTTTTCACCACTGAAGTAAATAATTCGATTCACGGTGAAGGAAAGGAGGGGTGTGAGAAAGATTCTCAAATGGAAATAAGAGGAGTCCCACGCCTCCACTCGTTTCTCAAACTCATCGTCTTGTACGATTACCATGTTCATTTCTTTCGACTATAAATAATGCCGTTAACGACGCACACACCAGTGTGTCCATGCGTAAGGGATTGTCGAATAGCTGAACTGAATCAAGTGTACAAATAATTAATTCGCGCACGGGGGTTGGTCGACGGGGGTTCACCAACGCTGGCTTACTGTTGTCTAGCAGAAGTAACTGTCGAAATGATGATAGAAGCTGTGGTATCGTGTTAACAATGTTGGCCGTCGTGTTGGCAATGAACGAAAGAACCTACGTTACGTCTGTTACTTGTCTCTCTCAACTACTTATCATTTAATCGTCCGTTGGTTCATTCATGCGGAAAACATTAACATCGACGTTGCTTCAAATTTACGAAACAGTTTGGCGTAAGGTTTTTTCGCCTTTTTTTTTTTATTGTTGAGGCGATTATCAATCGATATCGAAAATTCCTTTAGGTAGTTGGGACCTGATTGCCAAATAATCTTCAATATTACGTAGTAAGTGAATCTAACCAAGCATAAAAGTTTTCGAACGTGTGATTGCTTCTCTGTTGACGATTGTATTGAATGGACAGGAACGATAGTAGATGCTACGCGTTGCACTAAAAAAACGTCTAAAAACACGCTCTTTGACCTCTCTGGGTCTCAGTTTTTTGTCAGTTGGTCCAATGACCTGTAGTTTGTGTACTGTCGATATAGGCTTTCAGCAATAGTCGGGTTTCTCTACCATTAGCAGCCTTCTCTTGGTCCATAATTGAATCTTAAGAAAAGTCTTTTGTGTATAACGACGAAACGAAACAGCAATATTGTAAATGACATGCAGCATTTAACGCGTGTGATTAGCGAGCCAAGAACGCTAATAGATATTCCATAAACAATGACCGATCATTCATAATCATTCTACAATAGTACTATCAGGGAATTCCATGTTTCGTCTAAGGACTTTTTGCCCCTTTAGTAGTCAGTCCCTCGTCTCAAATGACTTGAACTGACTATATCGTAAATCGTACGTGCGCCAACAATAGACGTATCAAAAAAGCGGTAAAAAATGCTTATGGAAGGAACTTTTGCTTCGGTTTAACTATCGAGTTCATACATATCGTTGTTCAAGCAACAATTTTCAAGCTTCCTGCCAAAATTGGATGAGTAGTACGGGTCAGCCAAAGAGTAATTATTCGAAGTAACTGTATTTTCTTCATGCATCGTTTGTAATAGCGTGCGACTTTTCCACGAAAAGGTACCTTTGATTTTTCTTGCGACCACGTATCTTATTGTTATACGGTACATACGGTATATACATATGCCATGGATATATATATGAGCAACTGTTATACGGGAAAGACTCAGCTACTGCATAGCGGCTCAATGTTTTCGACGCACAGAATAAAGGAAGGCGTCGATCAAATTTCGACAATCGACAATTGAGATCTCATGAAATAAGCATGAAGAAACGTTCAGTGTAGTAAGGTCATTTGCACCGAATAAATAATATTGATAGAAAATTGCTCGTTGTGCATACGGCTTTTTTGACATCAAACCTCAACGGTTATATTCTCCTTTAGGTAATTTCTTTGCCACCTTATGAAGCCATGTGAATATTATGATCTTGGCAGTTACTTGTAGAATTCTTGAGCAATTTAATACTTTGTAAATGTTATTCCTGAACTTCTTCTATGTATGTTCGTGCGTTTGCGATCGGCAATAAGCCTGGTGCCTCCATTATGTAAATATTTGCCCAATAGGTAAGCGCTGCTTTTTGCTGTTATTGGTATGGATATTCCTAATATCGTGCAAAAATGTAATCTTTTTTTTCGGTAATAGTAGTAAATACAATGTTAACACTTTAATTTTTTATAAATTGTTCTTAATACGCTATTCAGACATGAGAGGATCTTAGAAGTGCCATTTTTGACGATTGCGTCCAACCAATATAATTATTATTCATCGCGATTACAACCTCACTTCAAGGGCGAAACTATCCAGTGGTCATGTACAAGATATTCCTCCCTTAATCCGCAATAAAATTTTTAAAAATAGCGATGTGTCAAGCGAGCGTGCTAGGTACAGAGTCGCTTAAGTGTTGTTCGCAACATCGTGCATAAAAAAATATAGCGGAATTAAATTTTGGGCTGATATCAGGTCACCCCCCCCCCCCCCCAAAAAAATACAAAAGCTCAAAACACGTAAAAGGTCCAAAAAGGTACAAGAAACCCCAAAAAAAGACTTACCGTCGGATTTTGTCTGGACAACCTGGTTGACAAAAGATGTTTCCCTTTTCAAGAAAGCCATTAATTTCTGTAAGAAAAAGTCCAGGCGTATCAGAAATAGTTTTTCGATCAGTTCTTTAAATCTAAATCCTTTTGAGGATCTTTCGTTGTCGATCTTTCATGGGAATTTCACGGAAGTTTTCAGAAGCCACATAAAAACTGGAAATAACGTAGACCGTCGATTTTAGGGGCAAAAAAAGGGAAGCTTTTAATCTTGGTGGAGATATAGCTGACCTTTGCTTAACTTTCGAAAATGGCGCCACAAATTTGTTGTTTCGTCATGGAAACACCTTTCTCTTGGTAGCAGGACTATCCAATAAACGTTTACCCGCTCCAAAACGCTACCGCCTGCTAAACTTTGCTCGAATTTGAATGCCTCATCTTGTAGTCTGAAGCCGCTGTATATGCTCTGCACTGTACTAGCGATGTGACAGGTGTGAGTGATCGATGAAAGATCGTATTCCTAGATGACAAGATGCTGAGATCGCCGTTATTGCGAAGCGGTGGCGACCGGCCGTTCGTTTGTTCGATCGGCCTGTTTACATATATGACTGTTGTATTTCCATTGACGCATTGAAGCGTAATAGCGCACAATGTGCAGACAATATGGCATTGCTACCAGCGGACGGACCCATTGGTAGCTGGTCATCCAATCCTCAAACTGCAACGGCTAGATCAAGCTATTATATTGGAAGTACTCAACGGCGTTGCCTTCTTTACGGTCATCGTTATTGAGCAAGCAAAAAACACGACAGGAAGAAGACGACAACCAGCCATAACATTATCACCCTATCTCGCTGTGGTCGTTCATGATGAGCAGTAGCGTTAGACTTTATTTTGCTTGAGTTTAGTCCACTTTTATTCACACATCATCCTTTCACTATATTCGGCATCGCTTTGCTTCTTTATTTTTTTCCTATAACATACAGACTGGCTGGCTCGCCAGCGTCGGCTTGGCCGTTCCGGTTCTTGCTGGCGCTGCTGCTTTCCCTATGAACGTCGCGCTTCGTTTCGTGGTGAACGACTTCACCATATGCACGCGCTGACGCCGTCGTTCACGACAGGAACGTCAATAGCAGCGACGACATAGACTAAACTCTGTTCGACCTCGCAGCGCAAAAGAAGGTTCTCGTAATGGTGTCTCAAAGGTTAGAAAACCCGTTGTTTTACGCGATGATAGCAGAAATCGATTTGCCTTGCGCCGTACCATCACGGCTAGATTTTTTTACTGAGATTCTCAGCGTACCTTGTACTATTATGAAACTGACACGGCTGTAATATGCATAACCGAGTAAACGAAAATCCCAAAACGTACGACGAAGAAAAAACGTGTTTATTTGATATGCCTTGTAAGCTAACATTTCACTGTTTTGTAATGGTGCATCATGTGTAGTAGTGATCGACAATTGACATCTGTACAAGCTGCTTCCAAGCCCCTGCCGCGGTAAGATGAGGTGGCAAGAAAATGTGCGATTCTAAATCCATAATATAAGAAATAGCTATCTTCTTGCAATCAAATAACGTTGCTAACGAAAAGACCATTTGAATTATGCCATTCAATTAAAAAAAAAAATATACACAAGAGCAGCTCGACGTGATCGATATTCCATTTGTGAAGCGCAACTAGCTCCATTTTAAGGACATCATTGATGCATGGACTAGAAAAAGCTGGCTGATCTTTTACAGACTTATACCGATTCGAGCAATGTCAAGGAGCACAATCATATTTAGTCTTGACTAGGTCGTAGAATGAAACAGCAAAGACTGTTGTTGTTTGTTATACAGGTGAAAAACATTCACAGCGATAACGTACTTGCTAACTTGTCTAACGTAACCGCCTAGGTGATCTCATAATACAAATCGTTTGTTTTTTGTTTGTTTCGGTCTCTGTTCGTCTTTGCCGTCGTTCATGGATACGTGTGTAAGTAAACAGGGACCATTCGTATGCATATTGTTAACTTGCTCATTCGTTCACTATACAGTTCCTTGAATAATCACGTGGTCAAAGTAACGAGCATAACTAAGAAATACGATAGCATCATTGGTACTGATCACGCTCTCTGAATTTTGGCCAAAAATTATCTATTTATCTATAAATCTCTCGCAGTACTATAGTGCTATTAGACAGGGGTAACAAACGGGATCGCCCCCGCCATTGAGACGGTACTTAAGCGTGTTCAATGAGTGAATTCTCTGAGATGAAGACGCGCGATATCTGTCATGATTACCGGATCCGTAACTATCGTTGTTTGATCGTGCTTGGACTGACGGCTGTGCTTTCAGTGGTAGCAGCTTTTTGCTGGATCTTCTCGATTCTTTGTAACGGTAACAATGGCCGTCGTCTCTTGTCGTAATCTGATGATAAGGCAGACGCGCTGAATCGTGCACAATCAGGTTCATAACAAACAACATTGTCTATGAAGACCGTATGAATTGCAGTAACACAAGAACAGTAACTGCATTTCCTTTTAAAGCTACTGATGCTGGTGCTTTTGTCAGACGACGAAAAATAAACAGTCCGGCGACAAAATTCATGATGCAGTAGAAAAATGTAAATTTGTAGCCAGCCTTATTGCAGTTATTGTGCTTGGTACATTTTAGGAGATGATGAGAAAGATAAGGGCCGATAGTTTTATAGATGCATGATACATGAAGAAATATCTGTTGTCCAGTAAGTTTTCAAAACACTTTTCTCTCTATATTCTCATTGAAGGGCATCCACCGTTCGTCGCGTATGAACATACTGAACAACTAGAAAATCATAAGAAATTAGTCCTTGTTCTCAATAGGACTGTACACAATAAACTATCGACCACGTTGTGATCCAACTTCTCTTCGAATAGTCAAAATCAGTGCTATAATTATCAGTCACGAAAATTACTCAAGTTTAACTTGAATTAAGGTAAGTACGGCTTGTTATTATTGTTACTGGTAACGTTTTTCTTTAGTTGCAACAATACACAAACGTAAAATGTGGTTTAAATTTTATCCCGTTAGTTATTCTTGGTTTTTAAAGTCGATCAAGGTACAGATTTCGTGGCCCAGTCCAAGTATCGCTCTTACTAACAGCGATCGTCATCTTGAGCAAAATGATTTGGCCTAGAGCAGAATTGCGAAGATCTTAAATATGGAAATTAAGTCTATCTAACGTCATATCTGTTGTTCATACATATTTCGAGTTTGGCCTGGTTTATGTCATGTGTTTAGTTATGGCACTGCCAATCAGCCAAAATCGATTGATATGACGATAGCCTGAACAAAAGAACCTAAGTAAAAAGACAGAACAATTAAGGCACATTATGTTTCTGTGCTATTTAGCTCATTCACAAAACTAATTTCCAATGATGACGGAATATTGAGACGATTGCAGGGTTCTACGCCACGCTACGGCAGATATTTTTCTTGAAATGAAATTTTCTCAATAGTTTACCAAACATTCCCAAGCCAACTTCGGGTGAATAACATATCATGTTTATGGAAGAGGAGTTTTGAAAAATGGCGCCATTTGTTCAAACTTTCTATAAGCAGAAAAGGCAAAATGCGAAGGAGAACCGCGCGTAGCATGAGTAAATTGCTGGGATTAATTTTTTTTTATCATACTTTCTGACTGGATAATATTCTGTAAGTTTCGTGTTTTTTAATGTACAAAATCTTTTTATCTACATAAAATAACAATTTGTATGTACATATTACGCCGCTAGTTCTGTCTCAAGGAGACTAAATCATATTTTTTCTGACCGCCTTAATTATAACTGATGACTTTATTCGCACGTTTTATTTGCACTAATTGATATTCTGTTCTGTACACTACAAAATCATATAAACCTAGATGACCCTAACATGCGTCGATGGTTATTCGAGTCCGGATGGCGGACAATTTGTAAAAGGTAGGTATTAATTACCCGCTGCAAACAGGCCGTCATTTTAGGATGCAAGCAAGTTGAGTATTCTTGACCACTGACTTAATGCCAGCCAGTTTCAAGGAGTGTCTAAGGACAAGAAATTTTAATTCGACACGATTGGGGAGCGGGCGTCATTATCCAAGAGCATGGGGTCACTAGCGTGAAAGGGTTACCATATCTGGCAGTTAAACGTCACGGGTGAAATTATACAAGACTGACGTAGCAATTGAAATGGCAGCTGGATAATCGTTTAGCAAAGCAAGACGAAACAACGTTGCAGGTTACTAGGTTTTTAACTGAGATGCGTTGTGTTGCTTGTTTTCCAAAGTTCAAATAACAACTTATTAGTTAAACGCCATTAATCTTGAGGGTGTAGTGGCCGACCGGAAACTCCATAGAGGAACCTGAAACCTCATTGAACTTTTTAGTAACCTACCTTCATAACAACGTTCTTACAACTTTCCAATCTTCAGTTACTTATAGTCTACTAGTGTCCATTATCTAGCTGCGAGATTATTTTATATCTGGGCCTCAAAGCTACTTAACTGAAACCTTTAGAATTTCGATTTTGAAAATAGTGATCTGTCATTGTCATAATCGCTTTTTTTTTCATAAGTCGTCTATGCTCATGTGTAGAAACGCAGCAGCGTCATATGTATGCCCGGTTGTGTACGATGGTCTAACTGATAAATCGTTATCAGACGAGTACAGAGTGTTTGTCTATGTCTCTCATTACTATGCTGGATAGCAGATGTAGAAGTTCAGATTGTCGTTATTGTATCGGCCACTAGATAGAAGAATATAGATATTATGCTGCAAAAACAACTTATTGGTCCCACTTTCCCATAGGCTGTTTAATGCTAAGACCGAAACAATGCTTTTGTTGCATTCGTATGAGCTGACTAAACAGAATGGAAGTACCGGAAATAGGAAAAGGTGGTAATCGATGGGGATCTTTTGCATTGGACGCTTTTTTTTGAGGTGCATTGGCATTCAGTCGTCTGGGTTTCCCACGGCAACTGTTGACTAGAATATTTTTTGTTTCCTTGTTATTGCTTGTCGTAGAAAATGCAATCCAACTGCGTTCGAAGTAAGCCAATAGGCCAATATATATAAAGAAAAACGTTAATCTAATATTTGAAAATAGCATTGCTTCATGAAAGTGCGATATTTTGTGACAGACAGGTTTTTGTTGCTTTCGAAATATGTTATTGTCAGCCAGCGCACAAATGGGTATTATTACTAGTCGGGTTTTTGGAAAGCGAATTGCCCTGAGCCAAGCAGAATGAAAAAAGCCCGACCGGCGTACGAGAATGAAGTTATAACAGCCCGCTTTTCAGCGAAACTACAAACCTCCTTAAAGAATCCAGAAAGAACATTTCGAACTTAACAATGAGCTTTATAGAAGCTCGCTATTGACTTTTTTGCGGGAATTTTTTAAAATGAAGATCAAAAAAAGCCATGTAAAGACGGTCGCTTCTCTTTGATTTGTACTTTAGTTAGTGACTTGTAATGAAAACTAGTTCTTATATATATATATACACGTATAGATACAAGGTGAGTGAGGTGGGGCTATATGGACCACTGGAGTATATGTGTCGACGCTGATTTTGCAGAAAAACTGATAGAACTGAGTAATACTAGAGTATAACTCAACTTCATAGAAATGCATATACATCTGAAACGGAGGCATCGTATTTTTGCATTAATTGCCACCAAGACGCTACAGGGGTTTTTACAGGTTTTTTTTCTTAAAAAAAGAAAACAAAGTTTAAGTGACTTTATTAGTAGAACGCACTACTGGAGAGCAGTGTGTATATTGCTGCTTCCCGAACAAAATGAACTTGTATATATCTGAGCCATTCAAAGCTCTATACTGACTTATAGCGGACGAATCATGCTATTTAATCTACTTAACTTGCTAATAAATGATTATAGAGAGATTAAG